CCCTACAGTGATGTCTTATTTTTTTAAAAAACTTGATGTAAAAATATCATCAATACAGAAAGCCACATAAAACAAATGTATTGCCTAATGAATTATCATGAGGCAAACACTCTTATAACCAGGTGGTAGCCTCCAAGATGGCCCCCAATGATTCTTGCATCTCGGTTTTCAACAACCCTGTGTAGTCTCCTTCCACAGTAAACATGATTGACCTGCATAACCACGCGGATATTGTGGAAATGAAGGAGTATGGCGGCTTGGTCATAAATGACACTACAGCCCTTAGTTAGATCACTCTAACTCAGAAGTTAGATTACTCACTCTGAAGGACGTTAGCTGTCATGTAGTGAGGACACTTGTGCAGCTCTGTGGAGAGGTCCACACCGGAGGAACAGAGGCTTTCTGTGGACAACAAATTTGAAAGCGACTGAGTGAGCTACCTTGGAAATGGAGCCTCCAGTGCCAGTCCAGCCTTCAGATGACTCAGCCTGGGCTGGCATCTTCACCATAACTTCTTAAGGAAGTCCACGCTAAGCTAAGCCAGTAAGAAACTCCTGATCCACAGAAACTGCGATAGAATAAATGATTATAGTTATTCAAGCTGATAAATGTCGGGATAATGTGATACGATAAAAGATAACGCAAACCATCCCTCATATCAGAAGCTAGAACCCCACTGGCAACCTCAGGAGCCCTCTTTGTCCTCCAGTCACTCACACTCCTTCTGGGCACCCCCTTTTCTTTACAGTTGCATCATTCACGTGTGCATCCTGAAACATTACAGTTTAGATTTGCCTATTTTCCTTTTTAGTATAATAAGTTTAAAATGCGGAAGATTACATTCAGCATTTGTTGTAATTCACCCACCAGATTCTTTGTTCGTAATAACAGGATTCTTACACATAATGGTTTAGCACTTAACCAGCGTATCACACATTTTTTTTTAGCCCATTTAACCATCATTAAATCTCTACAAGCTAAGACTATAGTTAGTCCTGCTTACTAGTTGGAGAAATTAAGGCTCCACATGGCTCAATGTCTTGTCAACACCACAAGGAAACCAGGTCTCCGGGCTCTTGTTACTGCACATGGGATTAGACTATTTTTAAGGGACCCGTTCGGTACTCAAGTGCTAGGCAGATCCGAATGGGTTACAGGCACTTGTTAAAGGGCACACTATGCTTTAGCATCCTCCATTCCCATCAAGCATAAGCATACACTCACCAAGGCGACAATCCAGACAGGATGGGGGTGGCTTAGACCATAGTGACAGCAGTGGGAGTGGGCGTATTTTGAAGGTAAAGCTAGCAAGGTTTGCCAAAGGATTGGAAACGATGTCAAGGATTAACTCAAGGCTTTTGGGCCGAATACCTGGAGGAAGGGGATTCCTAGGTGTTAA